GGGGGGGGTGTTGTTACATGACATTTCTGTTTATGGCCATAGTAACAGTAAAGGAGTCTGGGGAAACTCAGTCTTTATATTTGTGCAGCTACACATAGGAGGTTCTGTTAGTGCAGAAGAATGAGATAACACATTCTAAGGAACATCTAGTTATCTTTGCAATAATGGCCCTTTTCAGCCTCCTTGCAAATGAACTTTCTCAGTATTTATTTTTATACAGTATTCTTTCTAAAGAGTGGCTTCATATAATTATATTTTTAAAAAGACAACTGTGTTATAAAAATTTATAAAATACAAAGAAAAATTATAAAAACTCCCATGATTCGACAGTCTAAAGATAACTACTGAGCCAATATCGTTTAAGAAATTAAAATTAATATAGAACAAGCAACTTCTGTCTACAAAGTATTGAGGTATGTTTTAAAGTTCATCATACTATATATTCAATTATCCCTCAATGAACATTTTTTAACATTGCATTTCTTACCATCATCTTGCTATTGAATATGTGTGGTTGGGCAAGGAGAACAATAAAGAAAATATTTAAAATTAAGTTTGTCAACCTCAAGATATATTCTAGCACAGAGAAATGAGACATATATATGGAAATTGGTCATTGCCATATTTGTATTAATCTATTTAAAGGTACTTTATCAGCAGGAGACAACAAATGATAACACTGTAACTTTAACTAGTATAATTTGAACTGTGGACAATTGTTTATAAAAGTGACACCTTGAGAACATATTTTCCTTTCTTGACATATGACAAACTCGGCATTATGACATTTAGATAACAAATTCCTAGGGTTGTATGACTCAAACAGTATTAGGAAATAATCAAACCTTACACGGTTAAATTCTAACCTGTCCTGATGTCCAAATTTAGAAGTCCAAAGTTCATTCAGGGATTACTCATTATCACCCATCCCTTTCATGGACTTCAGAAATTAGATGAGGAACCAGAGAAAAAAATTTTTTTGGAAAATATGATGTTTCATTGTGTTCTAAATCCTTACTTTAAATCAGTGTGATAAATTTTTTTGAAGAAAAAAAACCTGACTTTTCTTTATTGAAAATACTTAAATGGGAAAAGATGTGCTAGGGGATACACAGAAAAAAACTAGCAGTTACACCAAAATGTTAACAATCACCACTAGATGGTGAGATATGAATTACTTTTTTAAATCTTTAATTGGTCTGTATGTGATAATCTTTTTTTTTTTTTAAACAAGCACTTACGCTTCTGTAACTGGGAAAAGGGTGTCCTTAAAAATTTGAAGCCACCTTCACTGTTGGCAAAGGTTTGCTCAGTTGATTAATATGAAAGGCTAGCCACTTGTTTCTGGTCTGAGCCAAGTATCAGGAAGAGTTCCTGCGGTGCTCTCCAACCAGTGAGTCCTGCGGGTCCTAAAACAGTGGGGTCAATTGTGCTTCTAACCTCCTCAGGTGACTGCAGGCTTGTGGCTGCTTAGCTTCCACACAAGAACACAAACTCTTTCATGAAGGGACCGGTCCAGCAAAGACAGAGTCTCTCTGTGGAGATGTTTAAATTGCCAGCTTTATTTCTGCTCCTGGCAACACTGGAATGAAGAACACGCATTTCCAAAAAGATCCCGGTTTCCTGTTTTCATTAAGAAAGCAGGGAGTGCTGGACAGCTGAGTGTGCTGGGGGGTGGTGTCACTGAAGCGGAGGGAGCCTTCATTGGTGAAAGCTCGGCCTATGGCATTTGCGTGTGGCTCGACTAAGTTTACACGAATGTTGAACCTCCTTTCCTTATGGGGTGAGGAACCAGGACGTCCGAGGCTGGGCCCGGGTGCGCGGCGAGCGAGCCTGTGTGCGGGACGGCGAGCGGGCCGGGCGGCGGGGAGCAGC